ATCGAGTTGCCCAAAAATGAAAGGAAAAATTATTCTAGCATTTTCTCTTTGGTCAAAAGGTCATTTTTGAAGCAATTGTAAAGAAATCTCAACATTAAAAAAACATCAAATCAGCTTCAGTGAACATATATTTTAAAATATAATACTACTATTAAACTTAAAGGCAGCCCAGTATTAATACTGGCAGTGATCCAAATACCAGGAATTAATCTGAAAATACATTAGTAAATGCTTTTAAATAATGAATATTTGGGGGTATGTGCTCATTTATACAAATCTTAAAATATATTTATATTTGTATCTGAATATATGTGCCTTTTGTTAATGGTCAATTGACAGAGTGGAATTCATGAAATAAACTGTTCATCAGAAATGTGACCTAAACCCAGCCAAGATGTTGGGCAGATGCTTAACTTTAACCAACATCCCTGCTGTGTGAGGGTGATTCATAGTCCTCAGCGAGAACACACTGGTTTTCTTGACCTAAAGCTCTCCTTTCCTTTTCTTGCCTGGAGCAAGCTTGCAACACATGATGCTACTGATGGGCTCCCAATAACCATTGTCAGATTTAGGGAAAAAAAATTATCTTGTGTCATTAAAAGAAGCACAGAGAAGCAAGTCACATCTCACTGCTGAGATTCAGGTGCCAGATCTAGGAACTGGGAACGGCTCTTGTGCTCTAGTTCTTGCACATCTCCAAAAGGTTTTGTTCTTGACATGCCAACATTGTGAGGCAATCAGCACAGGTGAGAAGCCAAGGACTAAATGTGCCAGGAGGATAAATATATTCTGGGGTGGGCATTCAAGAGGTAGTTGCTGCTTCTGCTAGGAAGTATGGTCTTGCTCCTCAACTGTCAGTGACTACTAGTTCATCCCAGGGGATATTTCACAGGCACATCCAATTGCCTCCTGATTCTTCAAGGTATGTGCATGTAGGGTTTCTGCTCAAAGGAACTCAGAGATGCACAGAAGGTTATTCAGAGAGGTAATTGTTATGATTCTGCTCTTTTCTTGGGCTCTTTCCTTGGTGTCTATTGGCTAGCATCAGAGATAGGCTGCTGGGATAGCTGGGAATTTGGTCCGATCCAATATAATGAGGCGTTAACTCTTAAATTCATGTTCTTTTACCAATGAAAGTACAATCAGAGCCTTATTTCCACAACACTATCTCACTATCATCTGCCTCACTGATATAGAAATCCCCTGGCATAATCACAGAGCTCTCTTTCCAGCAAGGTCTTTGGTGAGTCTGCCTTTGGGGAGAGCTGTCTTTGGGGAGGCAGCTCTCAGATGTGCTGCCTCTCAATCACTTGGGAAGATACTGATCCTCCATTAGGGAACCTGCAGCTTCAGGCTTGAAATGTTCATTTCAGTAAGGTTACTTCTAAATAGAAATGTCAAACATGCACTTAACGATTTCCAGCATCAGAATCAAAGTGAAAATGCTTCTGTTGTTTGGAGACAACCTAGCACATGTATTTTCTTGTCCACCTCTGAGCTGAAATTTTGCACTTTTTTAATATATTTTTTATTTTTTTCCCTACAGGAAAGGGTTTGGAGAAGAAGCACACTCTCCAAAGAACAGGAATAGGAAGTGATTTGAGCTCAGTCATTTTTCGGAAAGGAATTCAGACTTTTCTTTTTGCCTAGCAGATTTCCAAAATACTTAGAGTCCTGAGAAGAGAGAGAGATGCTATCCACCTTTCCAGAGCATGCAGGACTCCTGTCAACACAGTGCTTTTCAAACAACCTGTCCTATGCACTTATTTAGAAGAAAAAGCATCATAGAATCACAGAATCATTAAGGCTGGAAAAGACCTTCAAGCTCATCTGGTCCAACCACCCCCTACCACCACTGTCACCCACTAAACCCTAAGCACCACATCCAACTTTTCCTTGAACACCCCCAGGGACGATGACTCCACTACCTCCCTGGGCAACCCATCCTAAAACCTGACTGCTCTTTCTGAGAAGAAATATCTCCTCATTTCCCACCTGAACCTCCCCTGGTGCAATTTGAGGCACAGAGCCCCATAACCAAGCAGACCACTGGGTATGAAACCATTCCATGGCATCAGAAAAAGCCCCTGACCTGCAGGTACATCCCTGGGGTGGACACACCCCAGGCTGGGAAGTCTTCTCTGTCTTTCACCCAAGCTGGTTGCCTTTCCTCCCGGCCAGAGATCTTGGGAAGTGATTTGTCTCTCTCCTATGTCATGGAGATCCCCATCCAACACCGTTTCTAGAAGAACTCTAGCTGTTTCCGTACCACCTTCCAGCCAGCCAGGCCTGTGATTTGCTTAACCTCCAGGAACGATCATGGTCTGGAGACGTACAGCTGGTAGGAGAGAAAGCAATATCCTACTAGACAATGCATGATGGTTTATTGCTTTGGACAGAGATCAGTAACATTTTCAACCTGCTTTGCCCCTTTTAACTCTGTGCTTAATTTATTCTGTATTATTTATAGGCAGGTAGGTTTGCACATTCATAAAACGTTCAGTTTCCTGTTATGTCTAGAGAACTGGTAGGAGGTATGGCAAATATATTCGTAGCAGCTCAAATCCCCTGTGTGGTTTCCATTGAGTGAAATATTCATCACTTCCTGTCCTAAACTCAGTGAAGCACTGCCAATGTTTTAACAAGGGGCTCCCACAGAAATGTCTCCCTCTTCTCCCTTTTTACCTCTGCCTATGTCTTTCTTTCCTTCCTTCCATCCATTCACCTATTCACCCATCCATCCCTAAATCTCTGAAAGGGCTCAGTCATCACTTATCCTCGCTAAAACCAGGTAAGCAGTATTGCTCGAGAGAGTTCCAGTCTGTGTTTATGCAGTTGCAGGTGGAAGAAAGGGAAGGAGAGTCTCTCCTACCTCCTTTCTTCTGGGGAACCTGAGCAAGAACCCCACTTTTGGCCATTTTCTCCTGCACTTGTTGAAAATGAAGAGGAACATTGTTGGGACATGCTAAAGGGAGCTGCCATTTGCTTTGGAGGTACCTTCAGACCAAGGTCCAGGAGCCATCAGTCATCCTAGATAACATATTGGACGTTGGGAAGGTCATCACTGAAGCAGTCGGGAATAGATATTGGTTTCCCCTACTTTTCACAGTGCCTAACCTGTTGGGCTGCATGGCCTCCTGTGACACTCTCTGTAATTGAATCCCACTCGAGCTATTTTCTCTGCTCAGTGTGGGAAAATTCCGTACCATAATGACGGTTAATAATAGAAAGTTCTTATTTTATTTGAAAGTTTGCCGAAGAGCAACAGAACCATTTCCGATCCTCTTTTCTGAGAATATGATTCCCTCAATCATGTATTATTATTCTGGGAGGGGGAGGCACTGGGGGAACAGGAGGGGGGCATGGGCCTTCTGCAATGAATGGCTGGGCTTCTGAAATAAATGATTGTCACCTCCTTGTTCATATGTATGAATCAGCGGCGCCTGTCCAGATGCGAATGGGAGCCAACGCACCCCGTGCACCATCCCTTGCAGAGCTTCGAGCTGCTTAAATTTAATTTAGTTTCCTTTTCCTTGCACAGTTGTACTAAGAAGCCACAATAGAGGCAAAGAGGAAATCAAATCTGGAAAATATGCATTCATCTTGAAAGGCATCAGAAATGTGTTGACAATACAATAAAACACGCACGTGAAAAAGCAACATCAATAGACCTCGTCAAATTCTTCTGCTCAGTAGTCCCAGCTGAGGTCAGATTGTCTGGCAACCTGTTTGAAGGTTGTAATACATCCTTCATGAATACATGGGCATGGGTTAGATGCCAGCTCTCTGCATGGTGAGATTTCCTACTTTTTCTTCTTAATTTCAAACAGAATTGTGGTGCTCTTTTTAAAAAGACAATCTTTTGGAATTGGATACCTAGAGCCCAAAAATTTGTTGAACTTCTGTAAGATTTGACTAGTGCAAAGAGCGAAGGACAGATGGAACAATACGTAAATATTATGAAGGCAAGAATGACTTAATGATTAGATGGTTAGAAGTATATATATTGAGGAGAGAGAGATGCTCTGTCTAGAAGAATAGCTGGCTAGAATGAAAGGGGAAGGAGAGCTCCATAAATCTGACTTTGTAGAAAGATGCAGGCAGATTAAATGCTTGTTTGTCTGCTGGGAAAATGCTGTCTTCAAATTAGTAAAACAATAAGAATAAAAGCACTTACTTCGGTGTGTTTTCTGTCCCCTCAGTTAGGTGGATCCTCACAAAATACTTTCTGTATCAACTTCAACTTTATCCATACATTTTTGATCTACTCAGTGTCCTCATGGATAAAATGAGGAAGATAAAATTTCTTTGGACAACCCTCTGAGCTAAAAATAGCATCTAATAATGCTATCTATTCTGGTAAGTACACTATTATTAATTAGTATTTCTGTGCATACTGTTCTAGGGAAGTTGTAGAAATATGTAAATAGTCATGAGATGGATTTGAAACTGTCCACTTTATCACTTCCAGGGTGAAGAAAGAAGGAAGATTACCTCAGGTACCCTTACAGAGAAGATAGGTGAGGGAATTTACCTCTGCAAAATTCTTCAGTGATCTGAAATGATGGGCAAGTTGAACATTTTATTTTCAAGTAGCAGTTTAAAGACTTTTCTTACTTGATCTATGAAAAGCAAGCAAGAAAAGCCAATTCAAGCATGTGGTGTCTCCAGACAGTGTGCTCCAGAGGGATGCTGTGTTTCCTCACAACCATTTCCTCATCAGATGACTGACACCTCTCTGGGAGTGTTTATAGAGATCCAAAATGGCAAGAGACTGAAAATCACTGACTTAGGATATACACCTAAGCCTATATCTACAGTGGAAGCTACAGTGAGCCTCCTGCAACCTAGACAATAAACACCACCAATCTCTTTGCCAGGCCAGTGCCCAGTACCCAGCTTGGATGTGGGGAACTCCTGGAGTTGGTGAGTTTTCTGCAGTGGGTATGGAAGTTATTCTTTCATTCTCTGCCTGAGCTCAGAAAAGATAAATGAAGAGATTTTTTTCCAAATGCAGCAGCCAGGAACTGAAACTCTTCTTTCTTAGGATTCCTCATAGGAGGAGACAACTGAGGTGCTATAGAGAAGCCAGGACTTGTAGACTTCAGGGAAAACTGAGTGCGCTCGATTCCAAGCTGCTGTAATGGTTTAATGATTGCTGGGACAGGAAGGAGCGACAAGGTCCTTTCTGGTTTTAACCATAACACAGAATCACAAAAAAAAAAAAAAAAAGTTGAAATTAGAACAAACATTTGGAGATCATGAAGACCAACCCTCCTGGTCAAAGCAGCAGCCTGTAGAGCTGGTCACTCAAGGCTGTGCAGTCAGAGTTTGAGCATCTCCAGGGGTGGAAACACAGTGACACCTTACAATGACACCAGCCAGCTCCCTTAGTACTCATGGGTGCATCCCATCAGGCTCTATGAACTTGTGTCTGATTGATTTAGCTGTTCTTCCTCCACTGACATTGTCTTCTTTGCTCCAGACTTCCCTTCCCTTCTCAGGGTCTCAGTATTTCGGCAGGCTGATGTTACCAGTAAAGATGGAGATGAAGAATATTGAGTACCTTACCCTTTTCTGTGTCCTTTGCCATTTTCTCTATTCTTCATTTTATTGCTGAGGTACTTGTAGAAGCCCAAGTCCCCGTGACCATATTGTTGTTGCTTACACGGAAAAACAGCTGAAGGAAATAGAGCTGAACAAGCCTCGTCAATCTCTCTACAAAGTCCCTGATCTGAGAACCCGTCAAGCAGCAAATGTCCCTAGACAGCAGGTCAGGTTGTCAGATGTGGGCCTCTGTCCCCTGTGAACTTAGCTTGAGAGCTGGTGCAGGCATTGCTATGAGGCATCTCAGTTAATGGCACCTCCATCACAATGCCTCCAGGACCTGGTCCCCAGCCTGTGAGATATGATTTCTGTATCCAGGAGGTCACTTTTTTTGCTAGAAGCAAAATATGGCATGGCTGCCAGCAGTGTCCCATATTCAAGGGAGCTTTTAACCATCACAACATCTTTTTGATTTCACCTTGTTATCTGCCTTGCCCAGCATCCCATGATTTCACAGGAAAATCTCAGCATCCCACTTTTAACTCTTTCCCTATCATCCTGTTCTTCAGACCCCAGAACACATCTGAAGCATTTCTGTGACACAGCAATTCCAGTGGCGTGCATGGTCCCAGGAGATGATGGATGTGACCCAGCATTGTTCCCCTTCTACACTGCACTTCTTGTGTGCCAGGAGCAGTCACAGAGCAGTGGCCCTTGCACAGCATGCGCAGACTGGTTTAAATATTATATCTGTCACCAGGCCACTTGCAGGAAGGAAATGTCAGCTTCTTCAGCAACTCTTGAATCCAAGAGGACCTAAAACAACACTAATCAATTTTTTCCAGGACAAATTACTCAACAAAGCAGCATCGTGTTGCATATGTTATGTTCACTATGACAGGATGCCACAAGTGGTATTTCCCATCCCAAAAATGAGGTATCAAAGAGATAAGGACAAGCTGTCAGATGGTCCAGAGAAACAGAAGAATATTCACATGAATGGCTGTCCTGGCTGTATCTTTAAATTAGAAGAAACTATTGAAAGAGTTATCTCTGGCTCTTTCCCAGCACAGTGCTCACTGGAAAAGGTGTGCCTGCATTCCCAGTTTGGTTTCCCATTGCTTTGCATTCTATGCAGTAATTTATACTGGTGCATTCTGTTTTGGTGCCCACTTTGCGCTAGTACCTCTAGCCCAACTTGATGTGTTGTAAGGAATTAACTCCAAAGCCCTTTGTGGATGCCAACAACATTATTCCTTTCCAGGTGATGCATGCTGAGTAGCTGTAGGTACCACAGTAGCATTGGGTTGGATTCCTAAGGTTGCCAAATATATAAATATATAAATATAATCCAACCTCTCCAAAGCCATGGACTTGGTGGCAAGGAGCTGGTTCAGGTCTGACGTGATCCAAGCTAGTAAATCTTTCCCTGGGCTGTTTTTAATTTCAAGCCATCCAGGGAAGCAATGAGGACTCAGGAATTCTTGCTGCAGTGGATGTCTGTGGGTCCTTGCTCCTGTTTCAATGACTGTAGTGTCACATCTCCTTTCCAGCAATCACTGTCCTTGCTCTCCTCCCACTGTTTTGGATGTTAATGAAATCACTCACTGCAAAAATAAAAAGAAGCCCTGACCTTAGAACTTATTATAGTGGAACTAAGCTTTCCCCCCACACACACAACACAGCTTTTTTTAGGCAAGTTACATATATATATATATAATTTATTTTTTTTTTTGCCATTTGTAATTAAGTGGCTTTTGTGTGTGTGTGTGTCATTGCTGCCCTCTACTGCAGGGAATCAGAAGTCATTTGCTGCACATTGAACCTGGGGGTGAGTGCAGGGGCCTTCCCTCAGCCTGTGCAGGAAGGGATGTTTTCAGGGCACAAAGGATGTGACTGCTGGTCTCCACTATGAAGATCTTCAGCACACGAAACTACTCAGAGAGGTTTGTGTTAGGTTAAAGGCAGAAAAATGATCAAATAAGACCACCAGGGCTTGCCTGTGCCAGGGTTTTTCCATCTATCTTCACCTTATGGATCCCTGGAGGTATTCCAGTGGAGAAGTGGCTCCCTGCAGGAGTTTGGCACATGATTGCTGGGTAGCACAGACAAACCTGTATTTTTCTCAGACTCAGAGTGTTCTTCCAAATAAACCACCAGCCCCAGCTGTCCATGATCCACAGATAGAAATCCAAAGATTTAGTCTTCATTTCCATACTTTTTCCTCAAATCTCAGCTCTCCTTAGAGATTCCCTGTCACAACTTTCTGTAGTCTATATCTAAAAGTCTCCATTTTTTAACCCCTGCTGTCTCAACCAAATCTTGAAATCCTTTCATTAGAGTTCATGAGTTCATCTAATCAGTCCTACAGACCGTTGGGCCTCACCTCTGTGCCTGGCAAGATCATGGAACAGATCCTCCTGGAAGCAATGTCAAGGCACATGCAGGACAAGGAGGTGATCTGAGGGAGCCAGCACAGCTTCACCAAGGGCAAATCGTTCCTGACCACTCTGCTGGTCTTCTGTGATGGAGAGACTGCATCAGTTGACAAAGGAAGACTTCTGCAAGGCCTTTGATGTGATCCCACATGACATCCTGCCCTCTAAATTGGAGAGAGACTGATTTGAAACGTGGGCTTTTTGGAAGGCCACCAGGATGTTCAGAGGGCTGGAGCACCTCTCCTATGAAAAAAGGCTGAGAGAGCTGGGGCTGTTCAGCCTGGGGAAGAGAAGGCTCCAGGGTGACTGCACTGTGGCCTTTCAGTACCTAGAGGGGGCTTATATAAAAGATGGAGAGCAATTTTTTATTTATTAATGAAAGAGCAAGAGGGAGCAGGTTTTTTTGTTTGTTTCTTTGTTTGTTTTTTTTTAAAGAGAGGAGATTTAGATTAGATGTTAGGAGGATATTATTTATTCAGAGGGTGGTGAGGCCCTGCCCAGGCTGCCCCGAAGAGCTGGATGGGGCTGGGGGTAGCCTGGGCTGGTGGGAGGGGGCCCTGTCCATGGCAGGGATGGGGAAGAGTTGGTTTAAGGTCCCTTCCAACCCAAACCATTCCATGATTCTATTGGAGATTTATAGTACAGGATAGCTCATTTATTTTGTTACTTGAGCTTATCAAAAAATTCTCTGTGCTTTCAAAAAATGCTGTATTCCAGCTATTCCTGAAATCTTTTAGGTCATCTTGAAACACGAACTTATTTATGGAGCTCTGTGCATCACCCTTAAAAACAAACAAAAACAGGTCAGCATCTTTTCTTACAGTGAGCTCTGCTACCCCAGTACAAGGATAAGAGGGGCATGACGTCCTCTGATTAGGTCAGAAGACCAGATTGGGAAATGTCACACACTCCCAACATGAAGAAATCAAGTAAAGGGCAAGTAAAAGTAAACAAGAATAACTCAAACAGAAAAACTCACATGGGCAACAGCCTCCAGTGTATGAGCTGTAAAGTATCAACTCATCTGGGGCATGCGGAGGGTAGTAGAGAAAAGGGCTCAGAGGAGTCACCTTATTCATGTATTTCTCTAATTATTTTAAGGAGTTTTTCAGTTAAACCCTAGAACTGGACAGTAGCCATCAGCCAAATGTCATCCAAGGAACTGCTTTGATTTTTAACAGACAAGCTTCTTGGAGATGCTACTTGAAGTAGTTTTCGTTGTTGGACAGATGTGTGTTCAGGCTAGGGAGAATACAAGTTTATCCTTGAGGATGTCACTTGCTACGACCACTTGGTGCCTCAGTTTCCCTCTCTCTGAAGGAAAGATAGACTGAGACCTGGAGAAGAAAGGCCAATCCCAGTGATGCCTGTGCTTCATTTGAGAGCTGGGGTTTGGTGAGTGCTCCTTTGCAGGGTCTGATTTCTTTCTGGGGGCAAAAGGAGGTCATTCAGCATGACAATGTTTGTCATACCAAATGGCTAAGTACTATTCAGTTCAAAGGAATTTCCTAAGTAACAATGCAGATGTTTATATGAATGAACTTTTCAGAATGTTTATCTAATAATAACAAGCACTTACTCACAGTCAAAGCATTTTACGCACATTGTCTTAACTCTACCAACACTCCTGTGAGGTCAGCTGAAAGGTGCTATCGGCAGCACTTTACAGTGGGCAAAGGTGAAGCAAGCAGCAATTCCTCTAAATTTGGAGGCATCATTTAAACCCAGCACACACCCTCACCTGTATTTCCTACTGACTGCCCAGAGTTCTTTGGCAGCATATGAGGGGAGGCAGCATGAAATTGTTTTATCAAAGTAAATTTACAGGCATCAAACACTACTTCCTAAATCTGTGTCTCTCTAGCTGATGTGGCTGGGGAAAAAGTAAATTTACAGGCATCAAACACTACCTCCTAAATCTGTGTCTCTCTAGCTGATGTGGCTGGGGAATTGTTACTGCCCTCTGAAAATATTCTGGAGATTTAATTATTATTACTGTTTCATTCTTTAATTCTTCTCTTTCAATTTTGTACCAAACAGATAAAAAATAAAATAAATTAAAAAAAAAAAAAAAAGTGGGATTCTATAGAAAAAATCAGGACTTCAAATAAAATATTTTTTTCAGCCTAGCAGCAGGGGGTTGAGAATTTTTGCTTTTAGATAAAATCCCCTATATTTTTAATCAGAATGAGCAAATGGAATATTTTTCCCCAGAGCTGGTCAATTAGTTAAAAGCACTCTTAGTTAATAAAAAAGTTCTGATTGGCTTTAGCCACCTGTATCCTTTAATGCCTATAACTGTGGCTTTTCTTCAGGTGAATGAAGAAGGTACAGCAATAAACTTCAAGATGCTGAAGACTTGAGTTAGGAGTTTAAGGGCAGGTGGCCTGCCCTGGATTACTGAGCATACATCTGCTGCACAGGGAGCCTTCGCACACCGTTTTTCCACCTGCTGGGGATCATTGCCCTCCTTGCTCTCCTCAGGGAGGTCTTTGCAGACTCCCACTTCTCCAGCAGGCAAGGATCTGCTGCCTCCTTCCAGCCTATATCCACTCACACTGAGTCACTCTTGTCTGTCCTTATGCCCAATGTTTCTTCAACAATATGCCCAACATTTCTGCAACAATACATGTATGCCCAACAATACTTCACCTTTCCTAATAAATTAAGTGTTAAACAGAGCGTTTGTGAGATACGAAGGCAAGTGACACACGATGGGTTACATCCCTGCAGTTACACTTTCCATACATCTCTTTTAACAAGTGTGCCCCCATCCAAACTGCCTGCTGGAACTGGTTTGAGCTAATAAGCCCTGAACCATGGTTAGGAACTGCTGTTTGAGCAGCAAAATCTGTTTCAGGGAATGAATGAATGAATGAATAATTAAACATCTTGGCTGCTTACAGTCCAGCATACAGGCTTGCGGGTCCCACTAGCTTTAGTGATAAAGATTGTACAAAACAGGACGTTTGGCTGGTGTGCTCTACCACAGCATGTAATTAGTGTTTGAAGTTGAATCACGAATAGGAACAGATCTTTGTTTTGAAATATTACGGTCGCTTTTCCCACTCAAAACTGCAAGTCTGTGAGACACCATGCCCACAGTATTGATGTCAGCTTTGTCTTGAGCTCAGGCTGACCTCTTCCACAGGCAAGATGAACAGTACCTCTGTCTTTTCTGAGTAAATAAATAAATAAATAAATAAATCTATCTCCAGGACTACACAGCAAAAAGATGGAGGGCTTATTCGAGTCTCACCACTCCTTATCGTTCACCACTTCATAGCAGCAATCCTAGGTGGTGCTGATTTGGAACAGGACAAAAATAACTCTGACAAGGGATTTCTGTATTAATTTCTGTGTTAATACCTACAAGGAAAGCTATGTGGAAAAATGGCCAAGAAGGATCTTAAGATTTTGCAACAGTCAAAAACCCTAAAACAGGTTATCTATAGCATACTCCTGTAGTTCAGCTGTATAAAGATACAGAGACAGCAAAAGCAGCTCACATTTCTCTCTTTATGGATGCATGAACCTACTTCAGGACAACTGAAATATCTCAGTTTCTTATTTTACCATTCATGATTTTCCTGTACTGTGACAGTACTGCTACATTAAGACTTGTTTTCAATGGGATTATAAAAAGTAGCAGTCAAAAGGGGTAAGGATTGTATCAGGTCAGCAAATGACTAGGAAAATCAGTGTCTCCTGCCCTGTTCTGTTGTTCAAAGAAAATGCTGACAGCACTTGCCTGTTTTTTCAGGAAAAAAACATTCATACAGACCCCAGTTTGCTGGGAAAGAACAACTATTCTCTAAGAAAGTTGAGTCAGAAATTAGTGGCTCTTACCCCAGTACGTATACTTTTGCCTTTTGTAGGAGTATTTCCCAACCATAGAAGATAGATCACAAATGTGTCCAGAACAATTACTTTGAAGATATAGTGTTTTAACTAGGCAGGCATGTGTAAAGCATCACCACCAAGTCTGTGTGTAATTTTCCACCCCACTCCCTGTGGTTCTTTGGGTTGGGTCATCAGGCTCTTCCTTCCCTATAGCAGGAACCGTCTTTTCTGTCTAGAAGTCTGCAAAGTAGCTAAAACATTTTTGTTACTCTATCAATAGCAGGGGATAATAACTGCATGAAGATAGAAGTCAGGACTCCTGGTTT